TGACATACGCCGAGTAGAACCCCCTGGGCTAAGCAGAGGGTCTACTGGCTCGATTGCGTCCTTGGACAGAAGGACGGACAACTCTTGGGCCAGAGCTAGGGCCTCTGCCGGATTGCTAACGACTGTCATTTTGGCCCGGCCGAAGGCTAGGGTCCGGAACTGCGGTTCGTACCCCTGGGTTAAGGTGAAGACCACCCAAGGGTCGGAATTACAGACAGCCCAGTAACTGAGCTGCTGCTGGGAAAGCAGCAGACCTAGGCCAGACCTGGCGACGAGTCTGCACCAATAAGGACATAACTCGTCCCCATTCCCTAGACATTAGGGCAAAGGCTTACAGTGATGCATCACTGAGGCCCAGCAAAGAAGGCTCAGCCGGCGCCTGCTGCAGAGAGGTAGAGAAAGCCAGTGTCAGATGCGTGCCGCTGTGTCGTAGGCCCTACAGAGCAGCTCGTTTGTGACCCTGCACTGAGGCCGAGGGCACCTGGCATCAGGAGCCCGAATCGGGGAGGCGATGGCAGGCTCAATGGATGGCAAGCGACCCAGCCCCACCCTCGCCGGATCCTGCCTGGCAGCAGAGTGGGAGAGGGCCCTGGTGTCTCTCCAGCCTGCATGGAGCTCTCTCAGGTACTCCTCTGAAGGAGGAACAGTGGGAGTGAAAAGGGGCAGGGTTATGCCTGAAAAAGGCGCTAGCCTGAGCCGAGTCGGCCTGCGGAACCTGAAGCTGCAAGCGTACCAGGGCTGCACGAATAATGGCCGCCATGAAGGCGTCCTCCGTGCCCTGAAGAGAGCTCTGAGCAGAGGAGTGGGAAGCCTCCTCGGGGGTGAGCGGGGCCCTGTCCCCCCTTCATAGAAGAGGTTTGTCCGGAGCCGCGAGCGACATGGCATCCTCAAGTAGAGGTGTGGCAACCGAAGGAGGGCCAGGCGGCAAGCTAGTAGCCCCCGCACCGGCCCCTGGCTGAAGGGCCAACAGGAGCGACTTCGTCTGCTCCATGACGGCAGCTAACCGACCCACCTTAGAGGACAGCCTGTTTCTAGCCCTCTACCTGGGGGGTGAACCTCCATCAAGTCGCCGGGAACAGTCAGACTGAGCTGGAGGAAGTTGTGACGAGGAGAGGTGCCACCTCTGCGACTCTAGCCACTCTGAGCGCCCGAGGCATGAATCTACAGCTCATGCAGGCGTTTTGCGTGAGACCCTCCCTCAAATGCTTGAGGCCAAGGCAGAGGGGGGCAGCGTTCATGGCCGTCCTCGGGCTCAAGAGAAGCCATACAGGCGCTACATGAATGAGCCAGTCTATAGGTAGCCGGATGCAGCGTAGCCGGGAGTGGGCGCGAGAACACAGCCTTCCCCAGCTACCTGCTGAACGGAAAGAGTAGAGCAATGCTCCTACAGATGAAGCGCTCCATTTCAGACGCCTACTCGTGCGGGTCCGTCATCGGCACGGGGTGGGCCCCTGCTGAAAAGGAAAACCCCCCGCAGGACTTGAAACGCCCCCTTGATAAATACATTTAATTATAATGAAACCAGCTGCAATGGATCATGGATCCACCAGGGGGAGCCGTGATTAAAAAGCTGCCACACTGGAACTCATGTGAAATAAACAGCTGATCTACAGGTATCTGATATAGCGGATATTTGTTAAGATCCATTTGTCACGGATAGGATCATATTCTGTGCTAAATAAGAGACATGTAATCATTTACTAAACATCACCATGTTTTTATTTAACAAAATAATGTTTAATTCACGTTGGCGTAAAACCATCGCTATGTTTTTAGATCAGGAAATGCATCCAGGCTCAAACAAACGATTTTCAATCATCATCTTCACGATCATTTAATGTATCATATGTTCGCGAGTTGAAATGAATGCACTAAATGTAATCCACGTGAGTTTACAACAACAAAAATAATCGCTTTGTTTTTATATCACATCCGACCGGAGGAAAATGCAGCACGGGTCTCACTACCGATCATTCTAATCCCACGGGCAAACAATAATATCTACAGTGTTAATAGTTTACTGTATTATTAGTGTCTAATATTACTGGGGATTTCGGAATGGTACTGGATTTTGATTTATTGTATCGGCTTCATATCGCAATATATTCCCGAAGTCTGAAATGCAAAAATGTCCCACATTAGGGCAATTCACCCTAAATGTAATCATTCAAACAAAATCATATTTTGTTTCTTTTTAACGAAATAAATGTGGTTTAATCCACATAATTTACTGTGTTAATTGTTTACTGTAGTATTGTGCACATTACTTTTCGCTGCTTGTTGCACCCCTGGTTAGAAGCTAAACTGCATTTCGTTGTCTCAGTACCTGCAATATGTACAATAACAATAAAGTTGAATCTAATCTTGAGCAGGAACAAATGTATTTAGGCTACTTAGTACATATCTGACAAACGATTAAACACATTTGTGCATTCTTTAAACCGAGTCAAGCCGAGTCCGGAGGTGGCGGCACATTAAAGTGTGCACCTGATTGTTTAACTTGAAGGTGCCTGAGGACATTTAATCATTCAAACAAAATCATATTTCGTTTATTTTTAACGACATAAATGTGGTTTAATCCACATTATTTAGGCTTACTGTGTTAATTGTTTAACTTGAAGGTGCCTGATGTGAACATTTCCAGAAGAACTCTAGCTTGAATGGCCTTTGTATTGTTTAGAGTCGGCGAGGTCCTGATAATTTATTCCGGTAAATTACTTTGACCTACTAATTGACCTGACCGAAGTTATTGAGTCTATGTAAGTTTGCTGCTTGGCTCAGATCCACCAACGTCAGCAAGATCTCACCTCTATAACTCCCCGAAGAACCTAGGTTCAATTAACTGCTGTTTCAATTCAGACAACTCTTTTTTAATCTGTTTAAGGGATCCCGAAGGATTTTGATATCAGTAAATGGAGTGTGCTCCTACCTAAGTGTGAGTGGCAGGGTGCAGTCTTACCTTTGAAGCAGGAGAGGAGAGCACAGGTTGTCTTTTAAGTTATCCCAGTCCAAAAGGTGGGATCAGTTTATTTGAAGAAAAATAGGTCCAAACTAATACAGGGTTTTTACCTTCTCTCTTTACAACATTATAATCATACTAAAAAAAAATGGTGCTGTGATCATGTTCAAATATGAAACTTTAATTCACAGTCTTACATTTATTACCAAAATGTTTAATTTCAACTGCCCAATTCAGTTGTGACATTTTAAAATCTCCCGATAGAATTTAGAGGTATTTCCTCATAAAAAGACCGGAGACAATAAAAAGCGCATTCAACTTTTCATTCACCAAATCAATTCACATCAGTTTCATACCTTTTTTCCGACACAGACGGCGGGTATAACATTCAAAAACCCATTCCTATCCGCATTAATTCGGAGGAAGATTTCCTCACAGGTGGCGGGTTATAATATTCATACACTTTTTCCGACACAGACGGCGGATTAACATTCAAAAACCCATTCCTATCCGCATTAATTCGGAGGAAGATTTCCTCACAGGTGGCGGGTTATAATATTCACAAACACATCTCTCATCAAATCATTTCACTCAGCCAACAACCAAGAAATTCGAGAGATATTTACCACGTGTGAGAGGACCTTACCGAGAGCTATTAACCCAGCTCTGAAGGACAAAGCCTACCGGGAGAGAGTCTACCAGGGAAAACCCCCCTCTCTCTCGCGCTCTCTCAAAAAACCAGTCTCTTTATGCTAAAAAAACCGGAACGAAACCCCAAAAAACAAACACCTCCTCTATTCCCAACCAACGTCTTCTATTGGCTATGGCCTAAGACACACCTGCCCATGTTTGTGTAGAAAACAGGACATGAACAGACATATTCTATGGCTATCATAACCAACTTTTTGACGCCTCAATGTTTTTCTCCTTCAGTAAGGAGCCCCCCTCCCTGTGAACTGCTGTCAGAGGAGAGGGAAAAAACGGCCTACTCTCTTATCAGAAACACCCATAAATAGGGATGGGTATCGTTTGAAATGTATCGATTCCGATTCCGATTCCGGTTCTGCTTATCGATTCCGGTTCTTATCGATTCCCCGTTTCGATTCCAAAATTGTAAAAGAAAGAGGTCAAATGTTTAGATAACAAAAATATCTTTATTCTTTCAAGCTTTAAGGTACTGACATTTTTATAAATAAATAAAATACACAATAGCTGTGCTTTATATCAACTGAGGTAGCAGCAGGAAACCTACAGACATACATAATACACATAAGTCATATAAGTCCTCCTGTTTGAGAAAAAAGAAAAAGTCAGTTCGAGCAACAATAACAAGGGCCAAATGGTTGAACTAAAGTGCATTGAGTGCACAACACCTGGCTAACTCAACAGTTCTTGTTGAGAAAAATCAGCATATCAGCCTTTTCTGGTAGTATGCGTGATCTTTCTGGGCAAATTGTATCTCCAGCAGTGGAGAAAACCCTCTCACTAGGGGTTGAGGAAGCCTGCACACACAAATATGAAAGGGCCACCTCTGAGAGCAAAGGATAAGTGGTTCTTTTGTTCCACCACCAGGCAGCAGGGTCATCAGATGTCATTGTTGGTGGCATGTCTTGGTACATCTTCAGCTCTCTGTCAGTCTGGAGCTGGGTGGACATGGTGCTGGTTGATAAGTTCTTTATCTTCAGGCTGTCTTCAGCTGCAAAAAGCTCCTCAAGCGGAGTCATTTTAGCCCTCTTGCTGCTGCAGGGAGGTGGCTGCTCCTGCTCTTCCTCACTCTCCTCTCCATCTTCTTCCTCTCTCTTTGAGTGAGAGACTGCTGCTGTGTTACACCATCTTCTTCACCACGGTCCTGTTCTGTTGGCTGTTCAGACTCAGTCAGCTTTCCTACCATCACCTTCTCCTTGATCCGGTCCCAGACAGTGCTGTCCTCCACATGGTTTTTGAAACGAGGGTCTAATGCAGTGGCCTCTTCAAGAAACGTTCTCAATCAATCAATCAATGTTTATTTATATAGCCCAATATCACAAATGTTACATTTGTCTCAGTGGACTTTACAGTTTACAGTTCTGATGCCATCAGTTTGGTACCGCTTAGAAAGGTTTCCCCAGACAGCCTGCTTCAGGCTGGACCCCAACACTGTGTCTCCCTCTTCAACACTGAAATGCTTCTCAAGCTTTCGTAGAATTGGAAGGATCTGACCGCAAGTGGGGCTCTTTTCAGAGGAAACACAGAGTGTGGATGTGTATAACACTTTCATCAGATGGATGAATTCCTCTGCCCTTCTAAAATCATCCTCTGTCAGTCGAGCAAGTCGGTCCCTCTCCATTGGCTTTCTCAGACGCTGATCGAGGCTGGCTGCTTGAATGGCAGGATATTGCTCAATGAATCGTTCCAACATCATGTAGAGGGAATTCCAACGAGTTCTCACATCAAGAATTAGAGAGTGTTTTGGCAGATCTATAACACAAACAAGAAAATCTGATTGAGAAATGTGATTACTTTTTGAACAGTTTTATTTCTATTCTACGTGTATGTGTATAAATGCATTTTAAATATGCATTGTTTGTGTTTGCTCTGTGACAAACAATAACGTTATCTTCATGATCATCTATATAAGAAAATTCCGTTTTTATAAGATCTATATGTTTCTTGCATTGTGTTAACAAATTAAGACCTTCAAAATGTACATAATGCACTAATGAGCTTATAGTATGGTCAAATGAAGTAATCTGAGGGTTGCTTACTTAGGAGTTGTTGCTTTTCCCGGAGCACAGTCTTTCCCATGGATGAACGCTTCATCCAGACGACAACACCCCTGATCTTTGCTGTCCATTTTGTCACCGATGCCAGAGAATAGACACTTTGTGCCCCAAGATTAAGTGTGTGTGCAAAACAGCCTAGCTTTATGAAATTTAGCCTTTTGATGGCCACATCCATGTTCGCTGCATTATCAACAGTGACAGCCGCTATTTTATTCATAATGCCAAATTCTTGCAGAATTTCTCCAATTTCTTCAGCCACCACTTGTCCTGTTTGGGCTGTGTAGATGGCTTTTGTTCTGAGCACTTTTTGTCTCATCTTTCCCTCAATGATGTAGTGAGCTGTCACTGTAAGGTAATGGTCTTGAGAAATGCTTGTCCAGCCGTCGCTGGTTATGGCAACTTTGCTAACACCACTTAGCTCAAATACAACGTTTGATTTTTCCACCTTATACCAGGCAGGAATCAATTCGTTGCTCAAGCTATCTCTGGAGGGAGGCGTGTACTAGGGATTTAGGGCCTTGGTCATTTCCCTGCAAAAAAAGATTCAACAGTTTTATAACAGTACCTGGCTTTTACTACCTGGCTTTTACTCGTCACACTTTTTTTTAACCTTAGCCTACCTAAATGACGGAGCTTCGACAACCGAGAAGGGATGTAGCCCTTTGACTACAAATGCTGTTACTGCTCTGTGAAACTCCTCCGTTTTTTCTTTGGTCAGCTTTCCTTTTATTGCCAAAGAGAACGGTGTGTCGCGGCGAGCTGTAACCGGCACTTCTGGACATGCAAGCGGCGGGTCCGGGTTGCTCGTGCTGGCTATTGATGCCATACTCGGGCTCGGAGACCGCAAGCCACTAAAGACTGTACATTCTTTAATTTCGATGCATGTGTTGTCTCAAATGTTTACTTACATTTGAAGTGCAACCTGACGAACAAGCTATTAGCTTGCCACAGGCATTGCATTGTGCCTTGCCTTTCTCTTTCTGTGTGTAGTGGAGCCACACTTTCGAGCGTTTACCGCGATCCATCTGTGTGGTGTTATGAAGTGACTGAGCCGTGCATGCAGCATGGGGTATGTAAACAAATCAAATCACACGCTGCTGTTCCGTTGATGCGTGACGTCGTCACGTTACTACAGGTCCTTACAGATAGATACGTAGCCTTAGCCTTCGTCCGTGCAGATATGTAGGCTTTCTAAAGGGTTAGTCTACCGCGTTTAGGAACCGTTAAGCAGAACCGAAATTGTGTATTTTGTATGGGTACCCGGTACCGGGCATTTTCTTATCGGTTCTCACTTGGAACCGAGTTTCGGTTCCCAACCCTACCCATAAATCATAGACCTTACACACTCAACCTAAACAAACCACTTTGTTTTGTTTATGCTGTAAATATAGAAAAACCTAAAATATGAAGCATTCTCATTATGGGTTCATACAAGAATATAATTGATCATATATGATTTATAATTAACTTTTGTTTTAAGTATTCACTTCATATATGATTTATAATTAACTTTCGTTTTAAGTATTCACTTCATATGAAGCTCTCAACACCCTCTTTTTAAAACGCAAAGTTATCAAATAGCAACAGATAAAATCGTAAAAACACATACATATTATATCCGTAAAACTCCAAGCATCAATATCATGAAAAGTTCTTCAGTATGTGTAATCAGGACGACCTTTTGATGAACCTGGTGTGAAAAACACCGAAAACATGGTACCTCACTGGAATGTTCTTGAGCGAGGGGCCCATCTGTTGTTCCAGTGTAGACTCCTAAATCCATGTTGCTATCTGATGTAAATCCTTGACCCTGACCATGGAGGGGTTGAGGTTCCTCCCTGGATGACATCTCCAAACGAAAGGCCAGATAACTCGGTCGACATTTGTTATGGATTTTTTAGACCTCGTCAATAATCGCTCATGACTTTGTGACAAGGTCAATGAGTCCCCACACAATGATAGCACAAACGAGGAACCAGAGGCATATGAAACAGCTTAGCTGGCACTCGCTCATGACATCCTGTGTGTGCAGTGTGAGATTAGGTGTATGTGGTGCCAGTGTGGTGCTAGTGGTGACTAGGACACGTCACTTGTTGTCGTCTTCCGTTGGAGACTAGGACACGTCACTTGTTGTCGTATTTTTCTACCGTCTCTCCTGGCCTGTGACTACGACCTTGCAGTGGCTGGCGTGGACCCACGTGGCTCTCTCTGTGACCTTGACCGCTGTCTGGGTGATGAGGAGCACCTGGTAGGGACCTTGCCAACGGTTGGATTTCCAGCTCTTTCTCCGGAAGTCCTTGACCAGCACGAAGTCGCCGGGTTGGAGATGGTGAAGTGGACCAGTGGCAGGGGATAGGTAGGGCTGCTGCTACCTGGCGTCTGATATCTGACCATGCAGTTATCAGGTAGTCGTCATCCTTTTCTGGGAAATCCACTGCGATCTGAGTGGCTCAGCGGGTAGAGATGCAGCCTGTCCCACAGAGCTGGAAGAAACATCATCCTCCACAGGGGTACAGGTGACTCAGCCGCTGATCCATGCTGCACAGGTTTCCTGGGTCCAGGACTTGGCTTCACTTGAGGCACTGTGACTGAAGTTTCCCCGCTAGGCAGGTTCAAATCCTCTTGGTAGATTGCTGAGGTATTAATCTCAACAATATAGCTCAAATCAAGTGTAAATCATTTCTCTGATTCATAAAAAGTTGTTTCAGTTAAAATAAAACTTCCCCAAGGGTTTTCTCAAGGGGGTCATGTATTCCATATTGCTCTGGAATTTGTATATACAGCAAGGTGATTGTTTCTCCTCTTACTCAGTTGGCCTCTAACGGCAGAAAGCACTGGGCCATAATTTACTCTTATCAGTTTAACGACCTGACAGCCCTACACTTCCATGCTGTGTGAAAACCAGCAAAAAAGAAGGAGAGATGTGCTCAAAAAAATCAAATTTAAATGAATACTCTTTTAGGGTGTAAGCGTATAACAATTAAAATAACTGAAAAGAAAACTAATAGTGTAAAGTTAAAAAACAATGAGAAAAATAATATAAAGGTTATTTTCCATTTCCTCTTTGATACTGAGGTATTCTTCATTCAAACTCTAATGATCCATATGCTAATAGACAGAGTTTCGTCTTGCCATTTTTCTTTGCATAATTCACTATAGATTCTAACAGTTCTACTGCTAAATCCTTTGTATTTGAGCTATTGCTTGTTACTCAGATTTAAATTCCCTCTTTTGCTCTATCGAATATCCCTTGGTACAGAATTTACCAAGACAAATTCTAACTTATTGCGGGAAGATCCCACAAAAAGTCATCCTTTTCTGGGAAATCCACTGCGATCTGAGTGGCTCAGCGGGTAGAGATGCAGCCTGTCCCACAGAGCTGGAAGAAACTTCATCCTCCACAGGGGTACAGGTGACTCAGCCGCTGATCCATGCTGCACAGGTTTCCTGGGTCCAGGACTTGGCTTCACTTGAGGCACTGTGACTGAAGTTTCCCCGCTAGGCAGGTTCAAATCCTCTTGGTAGATTGCTGAGGTATTAATCTCAACAATATAGCTAAAATCAAGTTTAAATCATTTATCTGATTCATAAAAAGTTGTTTCAGTTAAAAATAAAACTTCCCCAAGGGTTTTCTCAAGGGGGTCATGTATTCCATATTGCTCTGGAATTTCTATATACAGCAAGGTGGTTGTTTCTCCTCTTACTCAGTTGGCCTCTAATGGCAGAAAGCACTGGGCCATAATTTACTCTTATCAGTTTAACGACCTGACAGCCCTACACCTCCATGCTGTGTGGAAACCAGCAAAAAAGAAGGAGAGATGTGCTCAAAAAATCAAATTTAAATGAATACTCTTTTTAGGGTGTAAGCGTATATCAATTAAAAATAACTGAAAAGAAAACTAATAGTGTAAAGTTAAAAAACAATGAGAAAAATAATATAAAGGTTATTTTCCATTTCCTCTTTTGCTCTATCGAATATCCCTTGGTACAGAATTTACCAAGACAAATTCTAACTTATTGCGGGAAGATCCCACAAAAAGCCATCCTCTCCTGTGGAAGAAAGCACATTAACTGCCACGTGTGTGTGCAAAACATGTCATGTGATGTGAGACTGATAGCATCAACAGTGGATGGGTAGGCCGCAGTCATATTCCTATCTGGATTCTAAACTCAGTTGGCTCGGGTGAACCGGTCCTCTCTTCTGGAGTGAAACTACTTTCCCAGAGATTGACTTCACTGTATCCAACCCTTCTGATTTAGTTTTAAGCTAACCCTTCTCTGGACTTCGCCCCTTTCTGGTCACCCATACAAAATTTCTGAATTTAAACGGAAAAGGTGTGATAGTTAGATATGACCTGACCTTTGCCCTATAGGTAGCTTTTCCATACATCTAGGAATATATTCAGCTTTGTCAAATTGATTGGAATGTCCCAATTTGTTTTACAGTTGTTTATACTCCACTCTTTGGCTGCTCTAATGCCTGATACTTCTATGGTAAAGACCAGATAGGTGTGATTCCCTTTATCCTGCAAGGGTGACAAAACTTTCTCATTTTTAAAATGAGTGGCATTATCCATTCCTATTCTCTCAGTTTTAGGAAACATACTTATATGTTCCGCCATTTTAGCAGACACTGTGTTCCAGTTACTCTGGTCAGAGGATAAACACGTTTATGACTCCCTCCATTTTTCAAAGGTCACAAGGAAATACTTATTCCCACTGGGAGTGCAGGTCAAAAAAGGACCTGCTATGTCAGCACTAAAAATGGTTAGTGGTTCTTCCTCTATTATTTTAAGATGCTCAGGATGAACTTTCTTGAACCCATCCACCTCTACACATTGAAGACATGTTGACCATGTGTGTTGTAAGTGCAATCGCAGTTTCGGTAAGAGGATTTTATTGTGGAAACAATATTTTCTCATCTGAAATAGGCCCACATGGTCTAAACTGCTGTGTAATTCACGCACAACCTAAGGAGCTTCTTCAGGTGGTACGTGAATGCTTCCACCCTTTTTCCATATTCTAGGCCATATGGCAGTCAGGTGGTTAACTCGTCCCGTGCTTTAAGCAAGGTAAAACTTCTCTATTACCCTGATAGTTAAATTTGATCTTATCTGTATGGCAACGGACATGATTCCATTCTACATGCCTGCCTTTAACTCTGCAATAAGACCCTCAATAGATGGGCATGTGTCAGCGCTTCACCTTTCACATTTTTGAACTGCCTTTGTTCCCAATTATTAAGCTCTTCTTTACCCGCTTTTTAACAATAATCACTATCAGTAACAATACGGATGTGTGTTATTTTACCTTTTTTAGCAAAAGGAAGTCCCTCAACAAATGGCCTTTTCCTCAGCAGTCTGTACCTGGTATTGCACCCTTTTGCTTGCAAAGTACTTCACCTGAATTCGTTTTCATTATAAAGGCCCAAGTGGCTGCTTGGTCACCTTTTCGCAAACTCCCCTCTGTCAACAATGTTATCTTTGGAGCAGCGGTTTCCTGTAAAGGTGTCATTATTTCCCTTTGTG